TTGCCGGTCCCGGTCCGGTACAGGGGCAACACTGAGGGTTGCGATCCGTTGCCGGACACGAAAAAAGACAAAAAGGAAAAAAAAAAAAATGAACAATTCAAATAGTATATTACGTAATGAAAGCTGCAGGGTGACCAAAGTAGTACACAGAGGAAAATTCATAGCCTTGACCACATTTATAAGAAAATGAGAAATTCTAAAAAGCTTAAAAAAATAAATGAACCAAAAAATAGATTAATTAAAAATAAAGGAACCAAGCTTTGAATTCAAGTAACTAGAATAGAATCAATGTAAATAGAAAAGAAATAAGGGTAAAAGTGGAAGTAGCTCTGGGCGTTTTTTGAGATGGTCCTTTAGCACTAACACAATCAAAAACTGTTTCTTTAAAAACACCAAAGGAGATAAATCTTAGGCAAGTACAGTCAAGAAAAGTACAAATAACATCAGGAAAGTGGGGGAAAGTATATTAATTACAGATGGAGACTTTTTTTTTTTTAATCTTTCCTTTTTGTCTTTTTTCGTGACCGGTAACGGGATCGCAACCCTCAGTGTCGCGCCCGTACCGCGACCGGCAATGGAATCACAACCCTCGGTGTTGCGCCCTCACCGTGCTCAACCAGTGAGCGCACAGGTCTGTATATGGGATCCGAACCCTCGGCGGGAGCGCCGCCACGCTCCCAAGCTCCGCACTCTACCGAGTGTGCCACCGGGCCGGCCCGACTTTTTTTTTTAATTGCAAGATGAGTTTTAGGGGAGTCAAGAAAGAAACAGACCAGAGAGGGAGAGACAGCAGTAGTGGCGGCAGAGCTGGGGGAAAAAATCCCTCACTCCCCCTGCCACAGGATAGTGGGAAAGGCAGACACTAGAGACAGAAAAAGATGGAGGACCATGTAAGGTCTACACTTAGTAGCCTCTGAGTTCTGATTCAAGAAGTAGGGAGGAGTGAACTTAGTGACACACTGCAGGACAAAGGGGACAGAAAAGCAAAACTCTAACCCAAGCCTGGTCCTACCTGAGTTATCCAAGACTTTATCAACAGGCTATTCAGCCCAGAGAACTACTCAACCCTCAAAGTCCCTTAAAGAAGTTATCCCTTATTTCCCTTTTCTGGGATGCCTGAGCCTCCTGTCCAACCCTCTAGCCAAACCCCAAGACCACTGAGGCTGAAGTGTTTGAATAGGGTCTACCTTGCTCTCCTTACTGGACACTAGATAAAGAGAACCTTTCCGGAAAGTCAGGGTGTGTGTGATCTTCAGCCCTTGAGATGCTCATGGTTATGGTGGGGGTGGATGATTTATCTGAAGACTTTCTGGAAGGAGCCCCTAAGGAATTGCCTCAGCCCACAGACATGACCAAGACTCTGAGCCTCCCTAGGTGCCTTGGCCCTACCATGGGTACTACAACATCCACCCCCATTTATTGAGTGCTTACTGTATGCTTAGTTCACATGATCTCATTTAACCCTTGCATTTAATAATTGCAACAATGCACAATTGGACAGATGAGAAAACAGGCTGAAAGAGGTCAGGCCTCTGACCCAAGATCATAAGTGGTGGAGGTCAGCCCCAGGCCTGCCCATCTCCTCCATAAATACATACTCTGCTCTTAAACAATATGGCTTTAAATATTTACAACCACAAGGAGAAATGGTCGGAACCACAGTTTTGCTGGAGGACTAAAGCCCACTCTCAGAAACTAAAAGACCAAGCAGACAAAATGATAAGGATCTCAAGGAGATGAATAATGGAATAGCAAATTCAATCAAATAGATATGTACAAGGCTTTGTACCCAACAAAGAATGGACATCCTGTCTAAACACTGGGAGCCTTCGCAAAAACAGATCATGTATTGGACTGCAAAGGGTATCATATATTGGACTGCAAAGCTCAACATTTAGACTTACGTACTAGACACAATGCAATAAAATTATAAATCGATGATGACGTATAGCTCCTCAAACCCACATAAGTGAAAATGTTGAAGTCAAATAATGTTGGGCTGGCCAGTTAGCTCAGTTGGTTAGAGCGTGGTGTTATATGACCAAGGTCAAGGGTTTGGATCCCTGTACCCACCAGCCACCAAAAACAAATAATGAGTTAAATATAAGTCAAAACATAAATCACAAAATATTCAGAGCTGAATGACAAGACCACTGCAAATCTAAACCTGTGGAATGCAACAAAAAAATATACTCAGAGGTCAATTTAAAGTTTTAAGTGCATTTATGATAACGGGGTTGGGGAGGGGAGGGAAGGGACACAGAAAATAAATAAGCAGCCAAAGAAGTACTCAGAGGGGAATTTGTAGCCTTATATGAAATAACTAAAAATAAACTAGTTAAGCTTTCAACTCAAGCATCCACAAAAAGAACAAATTACCTCAAGGAAAGTCAAAGGAAAACATTAAGAAAATCAAATCCGGGCTGGCCCGGTGGCGCACTGGAGAGTGCGCCACTTGAGAGCGCAGTAGCGCTCCTGCCGAGGGTTCAGATCCCATGTGGAGANGGATCTCAAGGAGATGAATAATGGAATAGCAAATTCAATCAAATAGATATGTACAAGGCTTCGTACCCAACAAAGAATGGACGTCCTGTCTAAACACTGGGAGCCTTCACAAAAACAGATCATATATTGGACTGCAAAGCTCAACATTTAGACTTACGTACTAGACACAATGCAATAAAATTATAAATCGATGATGACGTATAGCTCCTCAAACCCACATAAGTGAAAATGTTGAAGTCAAATAATGTTGGGCTGGCCAGTTAGCTCAGTTGGTTAGAGCGTGGTGTTATATGACCAAGGTCAAGGGTTTGGATCCCTGTACCCGCCAGCCACCAAAAACAAATAATGAGTTAAATATAAGTCAAAACATAAATCACAAAATATTCAGAGCTGAATGACAAGACCACTGCAAATCTAAACCTGTGGAATGCAACAAAAAAATATACTCAGAGGTCAATTTAAAGTTTTAAGTGCATTTATGATAACGGGGTTGGGGAGGGGAGGGAAGGGACACAGAAAATAAATAAGCAGCCAAAGAAGTACTCAGAGGGGAATTTGTAGCCTTATATGAAATAACTAAAAATAAACTAGTTAAGCTTTCAACTCAAGCATCCACAAAAAGAACAAATTACCTCAAGGAAAGTCAAAGGAAAACATTAAGAAAATCAAATCCGGGCCGGCCTGGTGGTGCACTGGAGAGTGCGCCGCTTGAGAGCGTAGTACAAAAAGAACAAATTACCTCAAGGAAAGTCAAAGGAAAACATTAAGAAAATCAAATCCGGGCTGGCCCGGTGGCGCACTGGAGAGTGCGCCACTTGAGAGCGCAGTAGCGCTCCTGCCAAGGGTTCGGATCCCATGTGGAGACCGGTTCCCGCTCACTGGCTGAGCGCGGTGCGGGTGCAACAGCGAGGGTTGCGATCCCATTGCCGGTCAGTAAAAAAAGACAAAAAGGAAGAAAAAAAAAAAAAAGAAAAGAAAATCCAAAAAATGGGAAACCACGGCCTCAGCAGTGATAGAATAATAATTTAAAAATCTGCATCTTTGGAAATGCCCATAAAAGAGACAGACTTCTGGCAGGAAGAAAAAAGGCACAAAGAAAAATTAGGGTTGACGGGGAACCAGAGGAGATATTTTAGAGGATAAGAGGACACTACATACATACAATTTTGTATCACTAAATGTGTGAAGTAATAAAACAGAAAAAATCTAAGAAAATAAGTATCAAATCAACCCGTTATTAAAAAGAGAATAATATTAGAAAATAGTGAAATGACGTTATGTATCTATCCTCCATACAAAGCACTTTTCAAGACAGTTTTTCAGGTGAGTTTTTAAAAATCTTCAAGGTCCCTGAGGTGTGGAGCTGG